TCCTCATCGATCATGATAAATCTAAAGACTCCAAACTTCTCTCAACGTCGACCGGCACGAGCACAAAAGTATCTACCTACCTAGGTACCTTCTACCTACCATATAATGTATGTAATTTTCAGGAACGACTTAAAAAAAGTGTTTAAAAAAAAATATTTTAAAGTAAAAATTAAAAGTTCATGATCATTCATGAATGAATATACGTATACGATTATTAACCCAGCTGAACGATGCGCATTAACGGTCAAAGGCCAGCATGAATATGGACCGCAGCAACAGCAATGGTGGAATGTTACCCCACCTTCACACATCCTTCCTAAAGCTTAAGAAAAAAAAGAAAAAAAGAAAAAGGAATTAGAATGAAAATAAAATCAAAGGAACCCGAAACCACAGAGCTCCACAGCCATCCAATCCATCCATCCAACCATCCATCCATCCACCACGGGCAAGCCATAAATCCATATAATACAAAAAAACCAACAACCAAAACCACAAATGCCAATCTCAACGATACTCCTCCCAACCCCCGACTTCCTCTCACGCCCCCCATCCACAATCCTCCTATGCAGCTCCAGGAGGTCTTCGCAACTCAAACGAGCTCCTCGGAATATCAAAACTCATGCGCATGCTGCTCGAACTACTCCGCCGTCTCTGCTTCCTCGCCTCGCTAGGATCCACCGGTGACAGGCCCGAGGACCTGGCAAAGAGGTTGAGGATATCAGTGAGGGAAATGACACCAATCAATTGGCCACTCAGCCTCGACCCGGGACTACCTGCAGAGCAGAGTGGGCTATATGGGGTTGGATTCGAAACCGAGGTCGACGAAACCGATGGGATGGACATTGCGTGCGAGAGGGTGGGTGTTGGGGGGGCGGAGGATGCTGGGCTCGGGGATTCAACGAGCCACATGCTGTGTTATACGTTAGCCATGTCAAAAGTACACGGACGAGCTCAAAGGAGGACTTACCGATGGGCCTTTGTAGCTACGAGCTTAGCTACGGTGTGGGCTAGTGTTGATTGAGGGTTGACGTGAAAGACTGGGTACGAGTCTTGTCCATTCGCAGTGCCCCGGTCTGTCAAGATTACAGACAAAAAGTGCAGGCAGGTCGAGCGTAGTAATGGAAGGGAGCTGGCCCTGGTAAGGTACTAAAAGGGTATTAGAATCCAATTGCGCCAAAATGTGTGTTTAAATATACCTTCACATCCGTAGTTGACAAGTTTCCAACCACGTTATTAGTACTATCCACGACTGCCACGGAGGAGATTCCTTCAGTGTTCATCAACTCAAGGGCCTCAATGACCTTTTTTTCTCCACTACAACACCATTAGCCATGTGATGTTGTTTTTGCCTGGCATTCGCAACTTACTTGATCGAGATGACTCTCGCTGATCCGATATTGAGCTCCCTTAGACTGCATGGGTAGAGCTGGTCAACTGCAGGGAAGCTCCTGCCATGCTCCCAGAAGAAGCTTATAAGTTGAAGCTGGCTGAGTATACCAATCACATGATCTGTGCCCTCTCTGACCACGGCAATTCTGTGAACACCACTTCCAAAGATTTCCACCACCTTTGCTAGCCCTTCTTTTTCGGAGACTGTCACAAATGGACTCTTCTTGCCCAGATCCTGAACCAGCTTGACTGGAATCGATGAACCCGCGCGGGCCTTCTTTGCAAGTTCTTGGAAGGATGCGGTATCTTCCTCTTCCTCTGGTTGGTAAACTCCCATTATGAGCAAAAGGAAAGCTGCCAAATCGCTGTAGTCGAAAGTTCCGCAAATTGATTCATCTGTTGGGGAAGGCCGAATTGGTACCGAGGACAAGCCATGGTCAATAAGAACCTATGCAATCTTGTCAGCCCAGCTCGCCATTGCAAAGTTCAAATTATTGAGGCAGCTCTGGTCCTTACCTGACATGCATCTTCTACCGTGGTTTCCACATTCACGAATCTCAGGCTCTGCTCTTTGACGAGCTCGCCAACGTTCACCGTCCGCCAATCTCGGGGAGGAGTGTCCGACTTTGGAGCCGGAGGTTGCGATAGTATGTCTGCCATTGATTGTTGAGATATTGATGGATGGCGACTTGATGTTCGAGGTGAAGGTGGGTGCGGACCTGCTCGAAGACTACCGTTGCTGGCTTGTGACGCTAGACGAGACGGTGCTGGGGGGGTGAATGTCGATGGGCTGATAAGTGGCGAGGTGGAGGACGACGGAGACGGCAGCTGTTCAGCCATTGCTTGGGAGCTGCTTTCAGGTCGAGAGGGGGGGATGGGGGAATCTGGCGTGTTTTTCTATCCGTAAGCTGCTTGCTGCTGCCCCCGGTGATCTATTCGATCTATTACCTGCTGGATGCGAGGCCACAGAACTTGGAACCTTGTGGAGAGGGGAAGAGGGGTTCACGTGGCTGGCTATATGAGGGAGGGTATGGAGCGGAGGAGGATGTTGGGATTGAATGCTCAGACAGTGGAAGACTCGAGTGGCGGAAATGCTTTCTGGGCCTTGTCTGTGCTGGCTCTTGCTTGTGCTCGACGAGAGAGGGGGTGCGGTGGAGTAGCAGTGGCAGTGGCTCTGGAGCACTCGTATGCGTGCGATTACAATGAGCGGCGGCCGCCGAGAGAATATGTATGTGTCTGGAAAGTGGGACGGACAGTTGGGCGACCTGTCGCAGCGGTGTGCGGTGTGCGGTGTGCGTGCGTGATGCGTTTGTGTGTGATCTGATGCGCATATCACTGTCCCTTCAAGCCTCGCGATACTTGCAATCATACGCTTGGTGGAATACGAACCCGGAGGTTGAGCTTGATCCGATTCTTGAGCTTGGCTACGAGCGCGCTTTCCCATCCAGCGAAATCCACATGTTTCGTTCCCCGCACACAACGCCTCGCCCGATGCTCATCTCAAAGCTCGCCTGCGCCGCCCTGTCTCGCAGCCCTGGCCGTGAGGCACGAGGCGAGGGCCGCTGCACGGCGACGCACATCCGCCCTCGAGCTCGAGAGCTTCGTCCAATCGTCACCCCGCAGTTGCCCAGCTGCGTCATGTCTCGCGGTGGGTGCTGCCGGGGTGCTTGGCGCGCCAGTCATGGGATCGCCCGCCCCGCGCCTTGCGCCAAGCCCCCGTATCGATAAGCGAAGCTGTCGCGGCGTGACAAAAGCATCCCACCATGACTAAGCCGTGCTGGGCTTGGCGTCCGCACAACGCCTTTCGCAAGGGCCGCAGCACAGCACGCAGCAGCTAATAGCAAATCCGCCGGAGGCACCCTGACCGACACCCACCCCCCCCCTCTCTCTCCCGAAGCCGGCTGTCTCCCTCCTCTCTGCCCGGGCTCCTCTGCTTCAGTGGAGCGCATACCCAATCGCTCAACTCCAGCTACTCCGGCCGGCTACAATGGTTATACGACAGGCCCTCACCCGGCAATGTACGTTCCTCCGCATTGTTTACCATTCGCATCTTCCAATTGACGTCTCTGTTTCCGTCTAGCCCGCCTCTTGGGCTCCTCCGGCGTCAGATGCTTCTCGCGCACATCCGCGGCTGCACAGGAAGTCCACCTACCCTCAGATTTCGACCGTATATCACCCGATGACCGTGCCCGCCGCAAGGATTGGGAGCAGTTCCAGACCTTCAGTACGCCCCCCCCCCCTACCACCGACACCATACGCCGAAAAACCGCAATTGCAGGTCTTGGTTAGCCGTGCTGACTTGTAAACTGCATGTAGAGTCCACAACGGCGAAACTCGGTTCGAAAGTCACACCCCACTACCAGCCATCGCGAGTCCTCCGGGCCCCACCTGCGCCACAAGATATCACCCTCAACCTCCTCCTAGCATCCCAGGCGCATCTCGGACATGCAACATCCCTATGGAACCCTGCGAACCAGCGCTACATCTTTGGTGTCCGTCAAGGCATCCACATCATCTCTCTCGAAATCATTGCCGCCCACCTCCGCCGCGCCGCCAAAATCGTCGAGGGAGTCGCCGAGCGCGGAGGTCTCATCCTCTTTGTAGGAACCCGCCCAGGCCAGGAGAGGTGTATTGTCGAGGCAGCAAAGCTTGCCGGCGGATGCCATCTCTTTGAGCGATGGATCCCCGGCGCAATCACAAACTCTGAGCAGATTTTGGGCCATGGAAAGGTTGTGGAGATGGATATGCGCGATCGCAAGAGGGAGAGGAAGCAATTGGACAAGAACGACAAGAAGCCAAACGTCCCTGAGCAGCAAAAAACTCTGAAACCGGACTTGGTCATCTGTCTCAACCCGCTGGAGAATTACATCCTCCTACACGAATGTGGATTATATGCTATCCCGACAATCGGTATTATCGATACCGATGCTGATCCTACATGGGTTACATACCCCATTCCAGCAAACGATGACAGGTGATACATTCCTCTCCCACAAAAAACTATTAGTCCAACATATACATCATAAAATCGGTGATCTAACTCACCACTGTATATTTTAGTTTACGTTGCGTCCAACTCATTGCAGGTATCCTCGGCCGCGCAGGCCACGAAGGAAAGATGAGACGTCTCCGCCGCGCCGAGAAGGAAGCCTACGAACTCTCGCAGCGACAATCCGCCGAAGCGAAATCCCAGAACGGATACTGGCAGCAGCAGCAGCAGGAGCCGGATGATATTGATCTCCTATATGAACAGACTGATAATAAACCTTTGGATTAAAAAAAAGTTAAAAAGTTGCCATCTGTTTGGTGTTGGTGTTGGTGTTGGTGTCGGGTTAACCATGGGTTTGGTTTGGTCATGAGAGGCGGATCCGGATCCGGAGATGAAAAAAAAAAAAGAATTAGAGCAAGTGCAATGTATAAATTTTTTGTTTTTTGTTTTTTGTTTTTTTTTTTCTGTAAATATATATACGTATACCGGTTTTTTTTTAAGCATTTTTCCTGGATCCTCCTCCACCACCTTTGAGTACCTCTTAAGTATGCTAGAGTCCCAGAACCAAGATGGAGCGCTGAAATTGGACAACACCCCAACCCACCTAGCCTCCATCACATCTCCCTTTGTGGTGTAGTTGGTATCACACCCGGCTGTAATAGCGTAGCCTCATACCTATGTTGTGTATGGATAACCGGTTGGTCACCAGTTCGACTCTGGTCGAAGGGAAATTACTTATAGTACTAGTACTTTGGGAAGGGCTTGAAAACCTTTCTGGACATTTTTTTGAAATTCGAATTCGAGAAATTGGGAATTACGGTAGATGCCTAAGAAGTACCTAATGTACATATATACCTATATATAGTTACCTACGTATACTAGGTACTTCTCAAGCTTAAGGATAAAAACCCCCGTAACACTGGTTACACGGGATTGATTGTGTTTATTATTCGGATTTTCGTACCTAGGCCTAGGCCTTTCTACCCAATCTTTTTGCTATACTTGCTGTACACATATGCCCAGGAGCTCAGCGTAGCGAAGCGAATGGGTTATGTTGTGACTCCTAATTCATCGAAATCCCCGGGTAATCAATCCCAATCGGGTTAGCGTGCCAAGCATCGATTTACTGTTGCCTAGAAAATTTTAGCACGTCACGTCGGGAGGCATGACGTTGCCTAGCGATGTCATGACGGGGCATCAACTGCTTGACGGCACATTCTATTTGCGGTGACTTTTTGACGTCAATCAATGACTTCTATATTGGTAAATTGAGCGAAGGACTCTTCACTTTGTATGGAAAAAGATGAGTGAGAATACAATACATGAATTTATTCACATAAACAAATTGGCGGACACAACTGGCGATGGCGTGACGTTGACCAGCACAATACATGACACATGGCACGACGACGTTGGGAACCGCTGCATGCAAATTCAGCTCGCGTTAAACTCATCAAGAAGAGTTTGGTAATCTGTAGTGTCCTTCTCCTCCAATTGATGAAGCCTTATCATCTCCTTTTCTAGCCTGACGTCTGGAGCAGCCTCAAAGGTCGATTTCAGGAAGCCACGGAGAAACTGTACGCCGGCGAGCGTCTTGCAACGTGAGAGCGCAACGTACACCGCGGTGAAATGTTTGTGACTACTACCGCCTCTAAATGAGCTGTGCAAGTCGACGACGATTTTGGAAAACGTTTGTCCTTGCGACCGATAATCTGTAATCGCAAATGCTGGACCACACGGAACTTGCTTCCGCGTAAATCGATGAACAATTTTTCGTTTTCGCGAATTACGTGACGCTGCGGCGTGTGACGTGATGGGAATTTCATCGCCAACCTCAGCCTCGTATGTGGCAGAGAAGCAAATCGGGAAAAGCGGAATAACGTCGCTATCCAATTTTTCCAACGAATCGTGTTTCGGACGTCGTATGCGGACAAATACGCAAAGAGGCGGCGAGTCAATCAAAAACACAGCCTGTTGTGATGTCGATACGTTAATTATCGTGGCGTTAGGGTCGATCATGACATCTTCAAGCACGCCTTGCATCCCGTTGACTAGACCGAGATTAACAAATACGTTTCTGTTCAGGATGACGGGCATTCCTGCATCGCACGCCATTAGCACAATTCCTTGCATTAATAAGAACAAGTATTGCCGACGAAGTGAAAATAGCTTTGAAATCCTAACGCGATGAGAGGATTGGGCTCGGTGCTTACCTTTGACGCAAATAAGTGTTCCTCCGCCTGGGATCTCACTCCCCTGGTCGCCTATACATAACGCAGCCTCAACGTCGAAGCGGGTTGGTGCTTGGTTTCTGTTGCCATTGACGTACTCATGTTTCGCCAGAAAAATCAACACCGGTAAATTGTTTTGCGCCGCAAACTGGAACGTCGCACCAACGTTGATCTTGTGCCTTATTCTGTTTTCACGCACAATTGCCTTTGCATCGTCGCCTGTTGCAGTCCCCATGGCGCTGTCATGTGCAGATTCCGGGTCGTTCTCAGCTGAAACGACATCGTTAACTGAGGTCGCGTTAGCAACGACCCTGCCCATCAGCATCTCGTAGTCCTCTTCTGTCGTTTCGTGTTGACGGAGTCGTTGAAGCAGACCGTGATATTCCCTGTCACTTTGCCGCATTTGTTCGGTTAGGAAGCACACACGGTTAAACTGGAGCCACAGCTCTCTTCCCCGACGTCCGTCGAGACGATGCCGACTGTCACCAGTGGTGGACGTTGTCCATAACGGAAAATCAGATATGGGTCCAAACTGATAAAAGTCGCCACAAATAAGAACGACTTTCAGAGTTCCCCAGCAACTATCCTCACCTTGTCGACCTGACGTTAAAGTAGGCTGGAGACGGGAGATTTGTGTCTCCATGTGAGAAAACATCGCTTGCCCAACCATGCTGATTTCGTCCACTATTAACATTGTCTTGTCGCGCCATATTCTACGCAATTTGTCGTTAAGCCTGGCGCCAAAGCTTTTTACTTGGAGGCCAAGCCCAGCATGTATCGTTGTGCCGTTGATACAATCCGCGGCTGCGCCACTGGCGGCTGTTATCATAAGCTGTCCGGCCATGCGACGACGGTCGAATAATGACGTGATAGCCTCGATCACCCTGCTTTTTCCAGTGCCTCCTTCCCCCCCGCAATAGATGAGATAGGGCTCGAAGGCCGTGCTCGTTGGCTGCTCGTTGCGATCGGTCGCGTTATCGCGATTAACGTTTCGTGAGGTCGCCAAACCGCAGGCCACTATTTTTAAAAGTTTTGCCTGTTTTGCATTTAGCGTGTATTTCTCAATGACCGCGCGAATGTCTGAAGACCACGTCGCAACAGGCATCGCTCGAAGCTCCATCGTGGCATCTCCACCGTGTCCAACCTCGTCGTTACGGTCAATATCGATTCCTAGAATTCCGTCGGCATGCTGCGCCACAGTGGCTTCGAAAACTTTGTTTTCGTCCTGCTGTTTAAGTGCATTTTTCCATGATTTTAGGTCTTTCATAGTTGTATGCTTTCCGCTATTGCGCCCTTGGGGATTATTTCCGCACCAGTGCGTTTGGACGTCCGAGAAAGACGGGAACCTTGCGCCGAAAATTACGTCATACGTAAGGTCAGCTTCGAGATCGATACTCCCCATTTGACTCGCGAATTGTCTTGCCAGTAAGTCACCCTGAGTGTCAGTAAGCATGTCTGCGGTGTACGTTTGTGTTCTCGTCACGTCGACTATCGTTGATATTGCGGAAGAAACGGCCTTGATCAGCGCGTCATTGCCACGGAATCCAGCTGCATGCTTCACCGTTCCCTCGTCCGCTGAAATCTCGTTATCGACAGCATTTTCCGCACCACCGCGCAAATCGCCACGCAACTCCGCTCTCCTTTTCACATCCTCGTTTACCTCCTCCGACGATTTTCTTAACAAGTCGATGTTAAATATGAGCTGCAATATTCGATCTGGGACGTGTCCTGTCGCTTGCTATGCGTCAAAAACATGTTCGAACGAAGTTCTGGAGTTCAGCGACGTTGAACGAGCAGCGCCGATGAAAAGTTCAATGTGCTGCCACGGCAAGAACAGTCCAAGAAGCAGCGCTGCACGGCGGTTGCGGCCAAGCGCGGTGGATCCGCCGCTGTGGCAAGGTTTTCCAGTAAGTATCGGCACTTTAAACGCAGACATGTCGTCGTAGACATCTGTAGACGTTCCTTTCTTATAAACGGTACACTTGTAGTCGTACAAGCACAAAGATTCCATCGCAGTTTCCCTTGAAGCGTAATCCTTGAACATGGATTGCGCCGTGCCTGATTTAGTGCTGATACTTAACACAGTATCGTCATCCTATTCCTCTCCGTTGTCAGTAATGACCTTTGCAAATTTGGCGGCGTCACACAGCACCGCCGCGCATTCACCCTATTACCTCATCATTCGCAGCTATAACGTCGTCATTCGGTTCTTCAGTGGCCGTTGTTTTTGTTCGACTTCGCGATGCTGCGTTCGTTTGTTCGTTTGAATGTGACCTGTGCACATGAGACTCGTCGTCTGCGGCATGATCCAGTTGTTCAAGATCAGAATCATGACTGTCGCTACTCGAATCGCCGCCACTATCGTTTTCGGCGGCGGCCTCTTCGAATTCTCGTGGCTCTTCCTCGCAAATCAGAGCAGGAAAACGATGCTTCATTTCTGCATACAGTGCGTTGAGGTCGATAGAACTGTATCGGTGCGAGGAGTACGATTCCGGCTGGCCAAGCATGACATTTGCGATTTCCACTCCCGAGAGCTCTCTTTTGCTGGCCAGTGCATTGAAAGTGCTCAGCAGAAACTTTCTCGCCGCCTCCGCTGCACCCAAATCCTTGCCTGCGTACCTTTGACGAATCCCTGCCGCGAAACCTAGTTCATGGTATACTGCTTGCTCTACCTTTGTCGAATAATTCGTGGCATACATTACCATTGCGAGGCATTGGACCTTGGACGTTATGTCCACAATGTCGTGATTGCATCGCATTGTAGAGCTTATCGTGTTATTCCAGCGATTGATCCACTGATGGTTTCTTTGTTGAGTAACATAACCTACGTCACAAGACGGCGAAAGCGTTAATACAACAATGTCGTCGTGCTTGAGTTCTACAGACACTGAGAACTTGATTGAACTAAGGGAAAAAAAAAAAACCGCGCCAGGAAAATATGACAAACCGCAACGTCATTACTGGAAATACCTTGATTGTCAGCCGTCGTCTCTGAAACGAGTGGCCACGGCGCACCAAATCGGCAGACGTTGTCACTGTGGTATTTGTAGCACGTTGCAGTGTGAGTATGCATTTGAAGCCTCTTTGCAACATCGTTACCGTCACGTCGAATGGTGGCATCGAAGATATCGTCGGGAAGAGATGTATCGATTCTCTCCGCATAGAAATCACGTTGTGGATGTGTTTTGTCGATCTCGCTTGTTGTTACGTCAATACACTGTGAAGATGTGCAATCTAGGTAACACATAAATCTTCGTGCAAAGTTATTCGCGTTCTCCAGGATCCTCTCCCTTACTCGATGAGCGTCAATATTACCACGTAGCCAAAGAAACCCGTGTGTATGCAGCGCACCACGACCATTCGTCTCCGTAGTTGAAAAGTAGGCTTCGACGTCGCCGAAAATGCCGTTTCCGTTCCCATTGCCGTGGGGCATCACAAGGCATTCATAAAATGAAGAAATCATGCGTTCGAAGAATTTGGCAGAAGCTACAGGGTCCT